AATTATAGTAAACCAGCTTTGTATTTGATTGTGTTTTAGGGAGAGTCTGGTGCTGTTGGACCTCCAGGATTGACTGGTACTCGTGGTTCCCCTGTAAGTTATCAGGATAATTCAGAAAACCTCATGAAACATGGACATAAAGAGCAAAATTTATAATCACATTTATAAAGAAACGGCACGTTACACTGATTTAAACACGAAATTCTTTAGTAGAAAAACTGAACAGTATTTTCTAGTTACATCGATTTTCAACCAGAAATTGCTAGTAAATTTCACAAATAATTACAAAGAAACAGTAAGTAACATTTTGAATTAAATGTGGAATTTTTAAGTAGAAAAACTAAAAGTAGTACTTGTTCAATTCATTTTCAGTCCGAGATTGCTAGTAAATCACACAAACAATTACAAAATGGCAAGTGACACTATCTGAAGTAGAAAAACTGAACATAGTATTTTCTTAAATCAATTTTCAATCAGAAATTGCGGTAACACTTTAGAATAGTGAACACTTATTCACTATTAACTACGACTTTTCCCTCAATTAATTCCTCATTTGCTGCTTATTAATAGTTAGTAAGATAGTTGTTAAGTTTAGGTATTGGGTAGGGTTAGGGCTGTAGAATAAGGCATTAATATGCGCTTAATTAGTACAAATAAATGGCTAATATTCTAGTAATATGCATGCTAATAAGCAACTAATTAAGTGACCTGTTACCGAAATTGCTAGTAAATTTCACATATAATTACAAAGAAATGCCAAATAACACTGAATAAACGTGAAATTTTGAAGTAGAAGGACTTAACACCGTATGTTCTTGTTAAATCAGTTTTCACTCAGGAATTGCTAGTACGTTTCACAAATAGTTACAAAGAAATCCTCATTTGTTTGTCGCTTTGGATAAAAGCGCCTGCTAAATGACTAAATGTAAGTAACATATTGAATTAATAGAAACATTTTGAAGTAGAAAGACTACAATAGTATTTTCAGTTTCAATCATTTTTACAGTGTGCTGTTGTTCTTTAAAATGTGTATCGAGTTGATTTGGAAGATTGCATTTGAATTATATGTAACTGATTTAATGCGAGTAAAGTCTGTCTCGTGTCTTCGCAGGGTGAGCGTGGTGAGGTCGGTCCACCTGGACCCGCTGGTTTTGCTGGACCTCCTGTGAGTTTAACAGTCTCATCCCACATTTATCAGTCAGTTCCCATCGTGTGGTGTTTAAACCCACTGAGCTGAAGTTTCTCTATTCCTAATGCAGGGTGCCAACGGACAGTCTGGTGCTAAGGGAGAGACTGGTGACACCGGATCCAAGGGTGATGCTGGAGCTTCTGGACCTGCTGGACCCGTCGGAGCCGCTGGCCCGCAGGTAAACTTATCAATAGCAGCAGTGGACATATTCTCAACTCCACACTGTAAAAAAATGACCGTGAATTTAACGGTAAAAGACTGTAAAAATGCTACAGTAAAAACCTGTTAAATGGTTAATGGTAAATTCCCCTACTATACACGGTGAAAAACTGTATTGGACATTACATGTATTGGACATTAATTTTACGGTAGTATATCATTTTTGGAAGTGAAAAAGACCGTATAATTTACAGTGAATAACCGTAAATTGACATTCCCAGTATTCCCTGCATTACATTTCAAATTTGATGTTTTTTTGTTGAAATAACTATGTTTCTTCTTAGTTTTTTCTCATCAGTTTTGTATATTAGGGTTGTGTGTTACACCTAATGTTGTTAAATGAATGTTTATTGTATTAATGCAGTTTCATGTGTGTTACCGTGATGGTGTTTAGTGTTTGTGTGTATCACACTGTGCAGCTTCTATATATGTTATTATTTAAAAGCTGCTTGAGATGGGCTTTGGTTCATCGTGTGACTTTCTCATCACCTCCTGCATTTGGTGGTTATCAGTGTATTACAAAGCTACAAAACAGATTTCAGTACTTCAATAGGTTGGTATATTAACATTATATCAGTTAATGAAATTACGGTATTTAACTGTAAATTTAAAACCTAAAACGTTGCTACCGTATTTTTTACAGTAAAATTCTGGCAACCACAGCTGCCGGTTTTTTACTGTAAATTTTACGGATTTTTTTTTACAGTGCACTTTTCTGCTGAATTTAAATATATGAATATCCTAGATTTATTTTCTGTTGTTATGTTTGACAGGGACCTGCTGGTGCTACTGGAGCTAAGGGTGCTCGTGGTGGTGCTGGACCTCCTGTAAGATTCAATACTATAAGTAACTTATTACAAAAAAAAGAAATTAGACACAATGCAAAGCCATATTATCTATACTTTCACTACCAGGTTGTTTGATATCAGTGTTATTTTAGTATCATTGAGAGTTTTAATTTAAGATGTTCCATTTTCATTTCAATCTTAGGTTTAGTAATTTTTCCTGTGTCTTGTTAATTAATTAATTAATTAATTTTTATTTAAGTTTTTGTTATTTTAGCCCATCAAGTTAAACTAAATAAAAATGAGAAATGCTGCTTTGGAAGCTAGCTGAAATAAAAACATATTTGGACAATTACGCCACTTAAACTGCATAATTGTCATTGCATAAAATATTTAACCTCTGCAAATTAATTGTGCAACACCTTATATATATATATATATATATATATATATATAGCAAAGCCATATTATCTATACTTTCACTACCAGGTTGTTTGATATCAGTGTTATTTTAGTATCATTGAGAGTTTTCATTTAAGATGTTCCATTTTCATTTCAATCTTAGGTTTAGTAATTTTTCCTGTGTCTTGTTAATTAATTAATTAATTAATTTTTATTTAAGTTTTTGTTATTTTAGCCCATCAAGTTAAACTAAATAAAAATGAGAAATGCTGCTTTGGAAGCTAGCTGAAATAAAAACATATTTGGACAATTACGCCACTTAAACTGCATAATTGTCATTGCATAAAATATTTAACCTCTGCAAATTAATTGTGCAACACCTTATATATATATATATA